ATATTATTCTGCCCGCAGAAACCTGCCAACGGACCTATATCCTGTACTAATCTAAAAACGGTTTAATAAAGGTGATTGTTCCAATTAATAAGATTTTATATAAGATTTTATATGATACCAAATATAGTTTTGATTTACATTATTGACTAACGCTAAATAACCCAACTAATGACAGAAAAAAATGTTGAAATCACATGAAGCAGATTAGTTTCCGACTCATTATTTAAAATCCCAGGTAGGCTCTTAAAAATTCTACGTGGGCTACTAGCCTGCGTAGTAATTTGCCCATCTTTTGACATAGGTGATATCCAACTTTATAATCAATTATGAAAGTGGTCATCTATACTGCGAAAGATCCTACCATTTTATATCCGGCATATTATGTGAGAAAACATTTCATAACCGATGTGTAAGCTACAGGCTGTGTAGCTTATATTGTAAACTTGAAAATTTTCATGATTTGCCCTAAAGGTTAGGCGGATTGTTGACAAGATCCAAACTGGGTAACAACCCAGTTTATCCGATTAACCGGGTTAAACTGTGTCTTAAAGTTGCAACTTCAGGCACTAAAGTTATAGTTACTCTAATTTCAAAGGTTAATTTCAGTCAAGTACGATTCTAGGCACGTACGCACGTACCTTAAGTTGCAACTTCAGGCTGATTAATCCAAGTATTAATTCAAGTAAGTTATTCGAGTTCATGAATATTGATTATTTAATTCACGTTAATTTAGTGTGTGTATAAAGAACATTTATTAATCTAGGTTATATAAATTATTTTATACGTACGCGTTATTATATATATCTGATATATTATATAGATGGTACGTACGTATAAAGACATTTATTATTTAATTTTAGAAATATTTACTATATATATATATATCTAATTTTATCTGATTTATGTTAATTGTCGCATTAAGAATTCGCATTAATAAAATGAAAATAGAAATTAAAAATTATACGTATAAAAGGATACGTATAAAAGGATAATTTATAAAAAGAACTACGTACAGTGAAATCAGAGAAAGGAAAGTAATAAAGTATATATTATATAAAATGTATATGAATGTCGAGGAAGTTGTTATGGGAATCGGAATGTAATTGTCGGGGAAATCAAAATTGTGCTAATTAAGTAATTATGTAATGTTATTCAAAATCAGTAATATGATTTATTTTATCCAATCAGAACCAATCAGAATGAATGCTTATAATAGAAAAGTTTACTCTCGTGATCTGCATGACAAATCGGATGACTGATAATTATGACGTACACGTTCTTAATTACAAAGGCTTTTTTTTCTTATCAAAGATGGTACTTCTTTTTTCTTCTTTGTGACTTTTTATCGAGCTTTTTGAGAATCCTTCCAACTCGAACCAACATTAGTTTCACTATTGGCATCATAACTGTGTGAACTATCGCCAATACTATTACATTCATTATGAGTAAATTCATGATTACGGTCATGTCCTTCATATTCGTAATGTTTCTGATTCTAGCGGCTGATCCAAAACTAATATCAAAAAAACGCGTTGGTAATTCTCAAAAGGACCCAGCATTAATGAATTCAATTGATGGAGAAGATTATATAGACTTTGATAATCCTAATTCAATGTTTGATAATGCTGATTCCGGCGGTTTGATTTCACAGTATGAAAATCCGGCTTCCAAGTTAAAAGAAAAATTTAATTTTGCTTCGTTCGATTGTGGTGCTTTAGTTTTAAAATCTAATCCTGAAGCAAAAGGCGCCATTTCACTTCTATATGAAAGTAAAGATTCTTATGTCTTAAATCCATGTGCCTCCACGAAATTCATAATACTGCAATTATGTGAAGATATTTTAATAGAATCTTTGGCTATGGCAAATTTCGAATTTTTTTCTTCGACATTCAAGGATTTTAAAATATCTATTAGCAAATGGTATCCTGCAAAGGAAGGTTGGAAAGTTATAGGCGAATATAGGGCAAAAAATTCAAGGGAATTACAAGTTTGTATACAATTTATTTGGGTTTCATCTTATTTGTATTGTAATATATGATTTTTCTTTATATTCATTTATATATTTGGTTATAGATATTTAAGGTTGAAGATTCATTGATGTTTGCAAAGTATCTTCGTATAGACTTTCTGACCCATTATGGACACCAATATTACTGTCCAGTAAGTTTGCTTCGAGTTCATGGCTCAAATGAATATGAAAAGTGGAAAAGAGAACAAGAAGAGATTGAAAACCAAATTAAACAATCTCAAAGTCAAGAAACTGTCTCATCATCTGAATTTTCTCATGATATTAA